GGGTTTATGATCTCCCCTTTCTCTTTGGATTGCATTTATGCAATTAGAGAGGAAATGCCAACAGCTGCTACTTTAGTGGATGAAATAACAAAAGAAGTTGGTAAAACGGAGTTAACAATCTCCCAAGTGGCTTGAAAACGAATACCTGCATTACCTACATAACTGATTTACACAATATATAATGAGTGCAAGGCAGCGGAGAGGATGGAGATGCCTAAAGATAACTGTATTAGCTGGATACAGGTAACATCATTATTTCTGTGATGTCAAAGAGTACATATTGAAATGTGCCTTACTTACAGTACATGCCCTACAGCAAATCCCTCTTTTTGTTTCATTATAAAGAGGTCCATTACATTTTGTCTGGCTTTGTTCATACACAGGTGCTTGATGTCTTTCCCTCTTAAATGTTTCATAGTCAACACCTTCCTCTTAGTGGAGGTGTTCTTGTGTTATGAAGTGTGAAACCCACCAGCACCATGCTGTTTCACTGGCAACAGCACCAAGCAGGCCCTCAGAGAGTATCAGGTCTCTAAGCACACATGGCAGACTCTGAACGCCGGGCCAAAGCTAAATAAATCATCAGAAACCTCTCACAGTCGCACACAGCCACAGCCAACAGTTATGAAAGAAATCCACAATCTTTAAGGGATGGAAAAATCACAGATTCGTCCCATCTGTCCCCCTGACATACAGACGCCAAGACAGTAGGAACAGTTGAGGGGAATACAAATGCGCTGAACCCTAAGTAAATGTGAATGCTGACAGAAAACCCACAAACGTATATCTATAAAGTATACAGTATAACGCTACATCTGAGTTCCCATCATTCGGCCTTGTAAGCAGGATTCATTGTCATTACTTCTGAGGTTATGCACTTTCTGCAGCGATGTGGGGAGTTTATCCGTGTGAACTGAGAAGATTGTTGATGAGGGAACGCTGTTCGTTGAAACATTTCCCAGTAACTCCCTTTTTCATTGAAGTACTGTGGGAGGGACAACACTCAGAGATATGTTTGAAATGCAGCAGGGATGGAAATGTAAAGGAATTTCTCTAGATTTCTGTCTGTGGGAAAAAAAAACCTTGAGGAGGACAAAGGACAAAAGACAGACGTGGCAAAAGGCCAGACAGAGGAGAGGAGGTGAGGAGAGGAGAGGAGAAGAGAGGAGAGGAGAAGAGAGGAAAGGAGCGGAGAGAGGAGAGGAGAGGGGACAAAGATTACTTTATCTAAAGGTCACGTAAGGATGCTTCCGATGGGAACAGAGAAATGAGAGGAAAGACAATTATCCTCTCCTTTAATTGGACATTTTATTAGCTGTAATTTGGCCTATAGTACTTTTTAGTCTTGCTTTATTTTTTATGTTGAGATGTTTATATTTTACGTTTGTTTATTTCCTACTCTTTTAATTTTCACACTATGTGCAATGCCTTGTTTTAACATGCTGCTGTGACGAAAAACAATAACCCTAAACCGGGATCAATAAAGTAAATCTTATCTTATCTTAGGAAGCCCTGTTGGTCTCAGGGGATATAGAGGAGGCATCAGGTGAATGTGGTGCAACAACGAACGACAGAGAGAGAAATGGAGAGCACAAGAAAATCAATGAAGACAAAAGAGGGATAAGACATTCCTCAAGTCATAATCTGCAGCTTCTATGGGGAAAAAGGAAAAAACAGAAGCCAATGTGAGAACAAATAAATATGAAATGTAGTTAAAAGAGGATATTAAGGCTGGTGTGTGATCAGTTTGAAAGCTGCCTTGTGTTTTCCATGTGCACGGGACAGTGAAGAGGATCAAAGCAGGTCAGAGGAAGCCGCTTCAGAGGAACGAGGAAAACTCCCATTTGTCTTTGTCTGCTTCAGGTCTGCACACCTGTGAGCTCTAAGTGTGTCTCTGTGTGTAGCGGCTGCGCACATCTTTAAGTGTTTCAGGCTGGAGGTACAAAAGGAATTCCTCTCAGCAAGGAGTCACGTTTAACACACTATGACTTCATACAGCCTGATCATTAATGTACCCTCATGTGGAGCTGAGGCACATTATGGATGTTCACATGCACTCTACAATCTGTAATCGGGCACTGTTTTAGGGTTTAGTGTTATTATCAGTGCATGTGTGAGTTATGTTCCTGCTCAATCGATTAATGGTTTATGGTGGTGTCTTTTTGATCTCTTTTTGTTCTTAAAACGTGTAAAACTTAAACTGACTAATTGAATTGACTACCAACGTATATGTTATTTCATTTAATTATCCTTTGATTCACTGCATAGCAAGTAAGAAAATAGTGTGAAATTCCCGCAAAGGTCTCGTATACAACATAGAGAGTGGGTATTTATAATGAAATAGAACTGAGAAAAACAGCAAACCCTCACATTTGAGAAGTAGAAGAGATTAGCTTTGCTTAGAAAGCGACCATTTATCAACCAATTGCTGCAGAGCCGCTAGTCTCCCTCCCTGAGAAGGACCCTGAATAACCTATCAGCCACCAGTGATTAAATTGAGTTTCTCAATTGGAAACGGCTTCCTAATACCCATGAAATATTGTTCCTAAACTCATACATTATTTGAAGTTATTTAAAACCTAAAGCCATTCTGCTTTAAGCCACACAGGGCTCAGCCCACTGGAATCTCTGTCATCTTCATTCCCATGCTAAAGAAAAAGGTGGCTATGGTTAAGATGGCTGAGGAATGAGGGCGGCCACAGGCTCAGACTGCCTGTCAGACCATGACAACTCCTCCGAGGGAGGATAAAGAAATGGGCCAGACAAGAAGAAAGAAAGCAGCTTCCTGCGTAACCCCTCAGTGTGCTGAGCTCATATAGACGTTAAGACTGACAAGGGGGAACGAACACTTTATCAGCTCCTCCGCAGAGCGAATGTGAAATTACTCAAGAGTTGTTAATCCCCTTTGATTTAGATAATCACTGTGTGAGGACAGGGCTGCTGCACGAGGACATCTTAGAGAAGGTTTTACTGTGACACAATCTGCTGAAATATATATCTATTTCCTTTTGAAGTGCGTGAACCGAGGACTTGTTAAGTTTCTGTCATTCAATGTCAAGTTGCTAATGCCCATAAGAGCCTCTCGCTTTCTGATATCCCATTGCCAGTGTTTGGCTTTGTTGACACAAACCGCAGCGTTCAAAGGGCAGGTGAGTCCTCCGATGTCACATGAACCCACCGACCTCTCTGCATCCAAAGACTCACATCATCAACAGCTTCATCTCTGTCTATCCTGACATTCCTTTCACTTGCCCATTACAAACAGCAGCAGACCCACTGTAAACGCATCCCTCCCTCCCAGGACGGGCCCAGATGCGGCGGAGTCCCAGCTGCTTGTGTTTAGTAAACATGTCCACAAGCCGCCGGCAGTGAGTGACAGGGGATCTGAGCGGGGGGGCGATCCAGTGGAGCGAGGCTGTGGGGCCGCTGAGAGCCACCTGGACACACCCACAGGGGGTCTGATCAGAGAGAGGAAGGGTTTCAGCCTCCGGACACAGCCCACACACACTCTCAACCTGACAGGATAAATATTTGCAAAATGAGAAAAGTCCTCTCATCACTGCTGGTCTCCAGGCTTGGGGAGTAACTGATTAATTGCAATAGGATTACGTAATCAGGATTAAAAAATAATGGTAACTGTATTCCCTTACAGTAACATTAAAATAACACATGATCAGATTACAGTTAGATTTCTAAAAATGGGGATAACTAGCAGGATACAATAATACTAAATAGCATATTTGTGTTTGTTGTAAAAGGAGCAGATTTCTTCTGTACTGTTCTGTAGGCGAATACTTTAAGAGCGAATCTATACTCCTACTTTTTTATGCTAAATATCGTGGTTTCTTCTTTTCTGAGGTTACATTGTTCTGTTGTCTTACATAATAGGCTTCAGTAAAAACATCTTATTGATATTTCCTTTCTTTTTTATTTAGTTTCATTGCATTTGATATTAAGGTGATCCAAAAGTAACAGAAAGTAACCATTACTTTTATATTTCGATGTTCAGATGAGGTTACTGATTACATTTATTTTACAGGTACCTAGTAATTGTAACGGATTACATTTGAAATTAACTCTCCCATCCCTGTCTCTGAGCTGAGTTAAGGTCTGTGTTCAGTCTTACTCCTGGTCATAAACACCCTAACTCAATGATTTCACCATCTCATCCCCCGTTTTTATTCAACAACCTTTTTTTAAACTATCAATGCTGTGCACTTTATTACAGGCATAAAGGTCCTCACTCCCCTATTCACTGTCTATATAACGTATTCAAGATGCATCCTGTCCTCACGGCTGGGATCAACATCAGAGCAGGTTTTTACGAGGACAGATGTGAGGACTAAAGGTGATGCTTTGAAGAGGACCCTGACAGCTGAGAAGAAGCAGATGATGGAGTCATTGATGCTGAATCAGCAGACAACACAACACTGGAGAGACAACCACGTAAAGAGGGTGTGTAAATGGGGACAACAATGAGGACAGGAGGCAGCCGAGCAATGTGGGCCGCCGGCACAGGAAAAAGGAAACCAACTGTCAGGAAGACAAAGGGACCTGGGAGATGGGTGGAGATGGGAGTAGCTCTGCACTCATTGACAAGAGGATACAAGAAGTGAGGTTTAAAAATAGGATGTAGAGGAAAGAAATGGTCATGTATCAACACAACTGAGGATTACCATAGGATCAAAAAAAGATATGCAAAAGAGATATCCCCGGGTGGAAATTGGATTTTCTTAACAGATGATCCATTTTAGAATACAATAAAAAATATGTAAATGAACATAGGGAAGTTAAAGTAAACATGCACATAGTACAAGAGTGTATAAATAGGTTTACATTTGTAAATTAGGATTTGCTGAAAACCAGATTAGTGTTCAGTGGAATACAGTATAGTAGTGTTTGCAGAGGTCGACTCAGTTCTTGTACTTAAGATCAATTAGAAATACTTAAGTGTAGTAGTCTTCAAGTAAAAGTCCTGCAAAATGTTACTCAACTAAAAGTACAAACGTATTGGCATCTAAATATACTTAAAGTACTCATTATGCAGATTGGCCCATTTCACAATCATATATATATGTGGTTCATAATTATTGATGTTTTTATCAAGCTGGTAAAGGTGGAACTCATTTTAATTACTTCATGTAGGCTACTTCAGGGTACCATGCAATCCAGCAGTGGAAGTAGAAAGTAACATAAAATGGAAATACTCAAATACAAGTGCCTAACAATTGTTCAGTACTTGAGTATATAGTTACTTAACACCACTGAGTGTATGTATTATAACAATATAAAGACACAGTAAAGTGGATGCTCTCCTTACCTTTTCTGGTACACTGAGGAGGCTGAGTAGGTTTTGTACAGCCCGGTCTTCCAGGTCGCGTGCACAGACACAGAGCTCAGCGCGAGGACCAGCAGCGTCCAAGGCAAACTTTTACTACAAAGCGCGGACACGCTCTCCATTTCCGTGGCATCAAAGGTACAGCCAGAAAAGTTGAAATGAGCCCAGCTTCCCCCGGTAAGAAAACACACCGGTTAGTGGATCCAGCTCGGTGGCGGAAATGTGTCAAACAGCCCCGGGTTGGCTGGAGAAGACGAGCATCCTATTCACTAAAGTGGAAAACATGCAGTTTACTAAAACACTGCCTGACTCTGGTTTCGCTGCAAAAAACCATAAGAAAGAAAATTACTGCCCCATAAATGCACGCTTCTCTTTAGGCACTACCTTTGACAGTGAGCCACATGTGAAAATAAACCTTAAATACTGTGTGTGTGGGTGTTAGGTGTGTGTGTTGCTGTCTATCTGCTCTGCCTACCTCCGTGTGTCTGCGCATAGCGAGCCGAGCCTTCACTGCAGCGGGCATGAAACTACTTTTATAGTCTCCCCGGGTCTTTTAAAAGCGCAGCCTGCTTCTTTTTTTTTTTTTTACCCTGCCCCGTTTCAACCTCTCCCAGAGCTCAGGACAATGCGTGCTCAAGGGGACGGCGCATTACGCACTGTAGCCTATTCTGCTTTAAATTAATTATGGGCTGCTGCTGCTGCTGCTCAGTCCGAGGCTCTCCTGAAATCACTGGAGCTGTGCCGGTGATGAGTAAGCGTTTTTTTGGTGAACACACAACTGAATACAAAATAAATGATTACTTAGTTCTGGCTTATTGAAACACTATATAGTTATATTTGAACGCCTATAAAGGTTCATCACAGTATTGTTCATGCTTCAACATCATGTACTGTCCTTGTGCATGCAGTGTTGGAAGAAGTACTCAGATCCTTTACCTAAGTAAAAGTCCTGATTTCAAATGTTGTCCCTAAGTAAAAGTACAAAAGTATTTGCTTCAAAATGTAATTAAAGCACACAAGTTCTTCTTCTGCACAATGGCCATTTAAAGATGAATCAGTAGGCTATAGCATTTTTTGCTAAATTCAAGTTTTAAAAGTAGGCTACTCGTTTCTCTTAATCTTTTCACAGTATTGTATTATGCTGTTTTAAAACATGGAAGAGCATTTTAGTGTTGTAGTTCATCAATGTGGTCCACATTTAGATACTTGAAATGCTGTGTAGATGAGTAGTATGGTACTGCATTATACCCTATCAGCATATCAGGTATTTGATATGTACAAAGTAAATGTTAAAAACAGTTAAATAATTGTAATGGAGTAAAAAGTACAATATCTGCATCTGAAACGTAGTGGAGTAGAAGTGTAAAGAAGCAACAAATGGAAATACTCAAATTAAGTACAAATATGTCAAAAAAGAACTTAAAGCAAAAACACTTGAGTACATGTACTTAGTTAATATCAACAACTGCATGTATTTTTGTATCTATCTATGCATCCATACATCTACAGTATCTCCACATCTATCTGCATGATGTGTCGTCCCCCCCCCCCCTGGTTGTGTTTAGCAGTTGTCTGTAGCCTCTCTGTAAAAGCCATCATATGGACAGTGGCAGGAGAATAGTTGAGGTTACTGTAACCGTCCTCCACCAACCCAAACATGTGGGACATAGGTTTTAAAACAGCCTGTAACCAAAACGCTGCGGCTCTTCTCCAAACCAAATACCTGGCTGGCACTGCAACCAGAAACTGGGGCCCAAGATGTATATCTGCGGTTGGGGGTGACTACACCTCTCGGGCCCCATGGGCGGAGCTGCAAGTCCCGCCAGCTGCAAAAGATGCAGCAAAGAGTTTTGTCACTGGCTGTAGTTTAGATGATGTTCAGCTCATGAGTGATGGTGTTAACACTTTGACACTCACAGTCAGTCAGACTGGCACTAATCACCCCCTATACTACAGTAAGAAGGTGGCAAACATCCATGCCCTCAAATGGGATTGAGTAAACCCACCTGCTCTCAATAACATAAACGGAAACTGTTAGGGATTGGGGGGTAGGGGGAGGTCTGGAAAGTTGTGTGTCAGAGTTTTTGTTTCAGGGCACCCACAGTATGTTATGAGGCCGCTTGGCTCAGGCAATAGTGCCAACAGGAACTGCAGCAGTTTAGGGTAAACGTAAATCCCTCCAGTCACGAGCAGCTGAAAATAATTTTGACCTCTGAGGAGAGGGACGGGGGCCATTTCCATTGAGAGGATTCCTTTCCCTTTATCCCGTATTATTGTTTCATTCCTGATTCCATAATTTCCTCAAAAAGAGCTGCATTATTGTCTGAGCACTTAATGATAATCTGCTTACTCATATGAAGTGTAGGTTCATTAAACAACATACCATTCTTTCCCTCTTTTCAAAAGGGAAACACATTCCTCCCCTCCTGTGTTAGGTCATAAACGTGTCCTAATCTTCACTCTTTATGATAGTCACACCAGTAAAGAGCTGAGAGTGGGCCTGTCTAACCTTTACCCTCAGCCATTCAGAGCGGGGTCTTAAAGGCTACATAATACAGTAATCACACGCAAGACAGTGACGTCATGAGGAAAGGCCTCTCATATAAAGAAACCTCATTGTTAACACACATTTTCATGTTGCTGATTTCAGCCTATAGGAGATAGTCGGACCAGCATATCCATAATTAGAGCAGCACATACACAGCTCAGGCTACATGATCATAAATGTATGTAGCACACATTATAACTTAATAAAATCTGCCTTTCTGTGACCTCACTGCCACACTATCAGCCCGATCCTGCGGGGGCTGTCTGATTTTAAGAGTTAATTTCTCACCTGCTTTGGCATGCAGACCTCAGCAGCCTCGATTACTCAGTGCTGCACTAGATCTGTTTGCAGTAAAGCACACACTGCTACCTTTACTGCAGAGAACAGCTGAAAAGATACTTGGGTAAAGTGGAAAACTTCAGCAGCCTTTGGTCAATGGTTAATTTTCCACTGTATGTAGCAGATTGTGTTCCCTTCACAATCTGAGCATGGCATCCAGCATCTGCTCAGCTGTCCTTTTTAGGAATAGACAGATGTATTGGTTATTTCGTTCAAGAAAGACAGATAGACATGATTTTAAATTATCTGCAAACATTTATTCATAAATACAAAGGTAAAAGACTAGTAGGCCTGAAAGATGAGCCACCATAGCCTGCTGGCACTTTAGCGCACTGTAGCAGCCAAAATAAACCCCTGTTGCTACTGCCCAGAGTGAAGAGCTCAGTACTGATGTCTGCTGCCATCTAGTGATACAAAAATGTAAAAAAATACAAGTCAAAATTGCAGTTTTCTTTTGTGCATCTATCAACTTTTAAAACTCTTTTCTCATAACTGATTTGTTTTCCAATAAATCAAAGGTAAAGTGTGTTTTCTCTTAAAGAAAGCTGCTATTAATTATGAATAATCAGCATGTCTGAACAAACTGTGTGAAAGCTGAACAGCTCAATGAAGCCCATCTTCAGTCAGAGTTGAGGCATAGACAGACGCCCCGGAGCACCCAGTGGGAGAGGTGCATGGTGGTGAACAGGTCTGCCTCAAACACCAACCCCACACTCATTGCATTCCTGCGCAGAGAAGTGGTGTACACTGGTGTCCGTAATGTATTCTGCGGAAAAGAACACACCGATATGCACATGAGTTAGAGGGGGGAGAAATCTAAATAGTGAGGTACTGTTTGGAGGTCTTTGTTGGTCCACACCTGTAATCTCAGGCGACTAGCTTCTATGGGGATGACTTTGAGGATGGGAAGTTCAACAACCAGAACCTTTGGTTGACTCTTCACCAGACAGCCATTCTCCATGTCCCAGTCGGCTCCCTCTAGATACAGGCCAGACACATAGCAACCTGCAGGGAAAAACACCATGAGCCCCTTACACCTCATCCCTTATAATCACTTAGCAAACTGTGAGAGGTATTTAATTACCCTGTCCAGGTTTGTCACTAATCTCGTCCTCACTGCGGTACTGAGTGACCTCTGTGTACAGCGTGGAAAGGTCCAGAGGCCAACCATTTTTCCTGCAAGCGGTTTGAACCAGGGCAGTCAGGTAGGACTCTGGGATGTGGAGTCCAGACAGCCACATCACCTTTGGCTCTCCCTTCTCCACCTGGTGGACACAAGATACCCAGATACAGTACATTACATGTTACTTGTTAGACGCTTTTATCCCCACAGGAGCAAATTGGGGTGAAGTGTCTAGCCCAGGGACACAACGACATGCTGACTGCAGTGGGGTTTGAACCTGTGCTCCCCTGATCCGAACACCAACGCATGCGCCACATGCCTCTGTGTCATCATCAATAACATAACATAAGATAAGATGGACATTCTCAAGTTGTTATTCAAAGGCTACATATGATCCGTGATAGCGTGTCCTTCCTTACCCAGTAGCTATACTGTTCATACCGCCTCTTGAAATGGATCATCCAGTTGCCGAGGGACTTGAGAGTGTCAGGAGCCAACTTCTTCCAGATAGCAGGGATGTGACCGTTAAAAAGAGCCCGAGCGACCTCATCCAACTCGCTGCTCATACCCACCTCTCCAGACAAAGCCTTGAACACACAAGACAATCAGAACAAATCTAAACCCATGAAAAGCACAAAGACGTTACATCAGTGTGTGTTTCCCCAATATCTTGTTGTCCTCCCCCTCCTCCTCACCCTTTGCAGCTCGAACAGAGAGCGCTGCATGCAGACCACTAGCTTGTTGAAGCGCTCCAGTTCTTGAAGCAGCACCACTGAGGTCGGTGAAATGTCCGTGCCAAACTTTTTACAGATCACGTCTATGTCGTATAACTGAGGCAGCTTGTTCTGAATGTCCTGGGCCACCTGGCTGATAAACTCATCCCTGCTGATGCCTCCACCAGAGTCACCTGAGGCAAGAGAGAGCGTTCAAAGGCCTTAAGAGAGAAAGCACTTACTGTAGAAGCACGGTTGCAAAGATTGTAAAGTAAACATCCTTACAGTAGCAGAAAAAGTATGGAACACCTTTAACTTCCAACATTTTTTAATATTATAAAAGTCAATATGGAGGCAAGCACCGTAACAATGTCTTTCTTTGAATTCAATGAATTGGCAAGAGAGATTAAAGGTGCCAGATCCCACCTGTCTGAGGCTGCAGGTCTATTAGGTGACTCCACATGTCTTTCGCTGCCTGAGTGTAGTATCCTATCTCTGCATTGGAATTCAGACCCAACACTTCTGGTGTGTTGGCCATCGGCAGGTTCTCAATCTCATCTGTAACACATAGAAAGGTAAAGTTGTGAGTGATGACAGCAACTTTCTTAACCCTTAGATGCATAAGTGGGTTTGACCCGGTGAGGTGGTTTTCTTGAAGTATCTTTGTAATTACATTTTTTGATCATTTCATATTCCAGCTATTCTTCAACAAACATGTTTTGGATATCATGCCATTCACATTTTACATTTTAAGAAATTGTAGTTTTTGTATTACTACCCCAAGCTTCCATAAGTGGGTCAAAAATGGGAACCTTTGATTCTTATCACCTGTGGCTGTCAGGAATACATTCACTGTAGACCACACAGACTACATCACTAGTGAGTGACACCTCTCAGTAAGGTTATTTTACACAGCTAGATATGATATCAGTATAATAATAATAATACATTTATATTTGTATAGGGCTTTTCAAGGACTCAACATTGCTTTACAATATAAGGGAAGGTTAGGGTGGGGGGGGGTGTAGGACTATCAAACGTGATCAACCGGCATGGATTGATGGGGGATGGGCTATGAGTAGACAAGAGGAGAAGAGATGAGTTTTGAAAAGGGACTGGAATAATGAATAAATAGATAAATATAAATAAATACTGGGTCTCAGAATAGCGGAATCTTTGGGACACCAATATGTTCAAAATCGGTTTTTTTTCAAAATGTAAACATATTTTTCTATAAGATTATAAATAGGAAATTGATATAAAATGTTTCTAGTGTGAACCAAAATATAATTTACTAAATATTATACAAATGATTTTTCTTAACCAAAATGACAAAAAATGGCATAAAAACACATATATATTCTTAATACGGGGTCCTTTTTGACCCACTTATGGAAGAGTGTAGCTCGCTCACTGTGCACATCTAAGGGTTAAGGAAAGATTGTAGAGAGATGATGAAAATAACAATTGGAACAGAACAACTGACAGTATATATGAGTCTCAGGCCCGTTTGGGGATCTTGTAAGTTACGTCCTTGTGCTGAAGAAGTTGAACTGCCGAAAGGTGTGAACAGGAAGCTCCAAGTACTCGGTCCATGTAGACGGTCAGGATCCTTCGGTCAAGAGGCTATCGATGGCTCGCCCACCATACGGATCACCTATTGAAGCATTTGTACACATCGCGTTTAATTACGCCAGTCTAACCGAGCAATATAAAACAGTATGCTAATTTAAAATACAAATGCAGTTGGACTTACCTCCCCAATAAGGATTTGAGACTTCCCATGGGATATCGCTATCCTTCTTGGTTGTGAGCTTTTGGTCAGGTATGTGTTCGGATCTCCATACTCACCTGTTAAATACAGGGTATATGCAGAATCCTGAATGTCAAATTTAATACCCTTTTAAGACCTTTTTTAAGACCATTTCCCATACATTTTAGACCTCATCGCAACTTTAGAGTTCTAACCGGTTACTTGCAACACACTTTTACCTCACATTTACTATATTGATCTGTAAGATAGCAAAACTAAACAGAGTGCAGACAGCACTACTGAAGCCCTCTTCTCACATGAACTTCACCTCTTCCTGTGAAGTCAGGTTTTAATGCCAGTATGCTGCTTTGTTGCCTTCTGTAGACTCTGTGCTCTTTCATTTCCAGTAAAACTCCTCAGAAAACATTAGAAACCAGTATTTGACAATACAACAAACGACAATTGACAAACTTTTTGAACTATGGAAATATGTTAAACTTGGTGGCTTCAGGCGGACGGGCGTAATGCCATAAGGAGCTCCCTCACAAATACCCAGTGCGGTTAAATTGGCGCTGGGGCACGACTGTCCGGGGCTAAGGACCCTGGCACATACGGACGATGCTCTGACGTCTCACCCTCACCATTTGTCATATGTTTACAAAAAAGGATTTATATGTTATATGCTTCTCGTCTTATATAGACTATATTTAGGGTCGTATATGTGTTGACTTTACTTTAAAACTAGCAGTATCTCTGTGATCCTTGTGTATTTTATAGTTTGGCTTAGGGACCCCGGCCACCACACGGTAAAACGCATACGCAGCGCAAGAAAGGGCTTTCCGTTACCACGCATTTCATTCTAAATGTGTCCGTTCACACTGGACCGCTGTTGCAAATGCTGGAACGGATGTAGTCATCTGTCAGGCCTGTAGTGGCGCTGCTGNCAGGCTGTGTTTTTTGTAAATTGTGTAACTTTTTTTATTATAATCTTTTTTTTATTTTTATCTTTAATAAAAACATTAAGCTGTCTTTGGCTCTTTTCTGCTGTACCAATGTAAATGTCCCCTCTGTGAGACTAATAAAGGTATTCTGATTCAAGTGTTGAAACCACATTGAAGTTAGTAGCTTTAACTCTTTTACTTTATTGGGGACTTCAAAACATCTCTCCAGGGACCTCAGATTTCAAACGTCACAGTCAGAATTTGTGGGAAAGAAAATGTGCTTAATTCAATGTCTTTCGAGATGAAATGTTATTTTACCCCACATATCTGACTTGTACTGAGTTTATAAAATCTGAATTATTCGGATCCTTGTAGTTTCCGGAAATTCAAATTTTGAGTTACACGTTGGTTAACATTTGAGTCATCACATGTTTTCCTGTTTGAGTCCTGACTGACGGTTTCTCTCCCTGCAGACGAGTCCTTAGTTCTGGATCGGGATCTGGAGATCCAGTTGCAGGTTCGGCCCGTCTCGGACTCCGGGCTGCTGTTGCATGCTGGGACAACAGCTGAGATGTACCTGAGTGTGGTCCTCAGCCAGGGACAGGTGAGACTGAGCACACCAGGGAGGGTCTAACCAAAACTGGGGACATTTTTAGTGAATTTTAAAAGGAAAAAGTCATATTAAAAATGATTATTGAATGATTTAAAAGAATATATGTAAATTAAGTTTGTGTTTTTGTGCAGGTGAATGTTTCAATAAACAGCGGCAAAGGTGAATTCTCTACCTCCTTAACTCCTGAGGAGCCTCTGTGTAACGGACGCTGGCACACCATCACAGGTCAGTCTACAAACGAATTATCACTGCGTCAAACTAAAACAAAAAGGTTTCGAGTAAACAGTTGCACTTTAGAACTTTAATTTTTTTCGTCAATAATAGTAGATATTGTGTGTGTGTGTGTGTGTGTGTGTGTGTGTGTGTGTGTGTGTGTGTGTGTGTGTGTGTGTGTGTGTGTGTGTGTGTGTGTGTGTGTGTCCAGTGGTGAAGAAGAACAACGTCCTGCAGCTCCGAGTGGACGCAGCCAGTAAGCAGAGCGTCGGCCCCAGACAGAGCCGCTCTGCAGGGGGCTTAGAGACCGTTTACCTCGGAGGGGTCCCCGGTGAGTTCACATTCACACACACCTCTTTGATTTGTTCACTATTCAACAAATCCCGTTCCCTCTCCTGATTCTGCCCTTTGTGTGTTTTTTGCTAATTGCATGACTTGATCTTGATTTACTTTGACGACTCCAAAAGTTATTACATGTGTATTCTTGTGATCTGCCTTCTATCCAATTAGGTGTATTATCTTTGAGTGCGTCAGTTATTGTCATTGACTAATCTTTTGATTTCATTTTTGATTAATGGGTTTAGTTCATACAATGTCAAAAAAACGTTATCATGATTTTGCAGAGATCCAGAAGATGTTTGTTTTTGTTTTGTTTTTTAATAAGTCAAAGTCAACTTTATTGTCAATCTTCCAGTTTGTGTGTACAGACAGAGATCGAAATACCGTTTCGTACGATCCCGAATATAAAAACCAATATATATAAAAATATGTTTGCAAACAAGTATATACCTATATACACAATCAAAGACATATTTAAAAAATGCACACATTAAGACCTAAATAAAAACACAACTGTCAATATATACAAAATACCAGTCACTTCAATATCTTTGAGAATGTGCATTAGTGCAAGATTGTCCATAGCAGCATAAAAAGTGTAAAAAGTAATAAAAAGCTAAAGCCAAAATGTACAACTTGCAACTAAGAGACAGCAAATTGTCCTCTCTAGAAAGAGACAATATTATAATTTATTGCTTAAAATCTGACAACTATTTCATCATTTATTAGCATTTCTGATTGAATGTTTGCTTCTTTTAAAAAATAAAAACTCTTAAAGGTCACCTATTATGCAAAATCCACTTGTTCATGTATTTTCTACATAAACATGTGTCCCCTCTGTGGAAAGAGACTCTTAAAAAAAGATTCTCTCTCTTTTTGATCGATTTCTATAAAAACCTGTCTGAAAATGAGCTGATCAGATTTTGGCCACTTTATGATGTCATAACGATTTTTCGGTTTGTGTAACCAATTAGCCAATAATCATTGCCCTAATTGCTCGCCCCTCTCTCTCCTCCAGATGGCGCCCCATTTCCCAGTCTCCCCGCCGGTCTCCCTGTCTTCCACGGCTGCGTCCGCCTGGCGATGATTAACCAGCGCACCGCCATGCTGTCCAAACCGCTCGCCCTGCACGGAGCTGTGGGCACGCAGGGCTGCCCCCACATGTAAACCCAACACACGCAAAAACAGTCTTATCCTCACATTCCCCGACTACAAATTACTGGTGGTGGGTGCCATGTTACTGTAGCTAATTTAAAATATATATAATAATATTTATTTTCTATTTTCAGAAAAATGTATATTTTATATTTGACAGTTTGTCGTTATTACTGGTTTGTTTCTGTGCTACAGGGTGCTATAGCAACAGCTGTCTGACCGTAGAGGTGCACTGAGTCACTGCTACCACATATCAATTCTAAAACGTGTAGTATATTGTAAATAAAGGCAACAAAGCTTTAACTTGCAAACAAATGAAAAGTACATTATGTCAATCATTCAAACACATTTCCTGAATTATGAATTATATGCATTATGTTTTAATAAGTGAACGATGTGTACAGCTGTTTATCGTGCATCTCTAGCGGAGAATGTTAAGAATTCCTACTGAGTCGGTACACTGTAATGTACGAGTCCTCAGGCAGCCGATGGAAACGCTGCCTGTAACCGGGACAGGACTGAGCTTTGGGATTATCAGAGTTAA